TAAAGTCTCCGAACGTCTCCTCCTTTCTAACAGATTCTCCCTGGTGTGTCTTTTAGTGACTGATGTTGAAATCTCTCTTTTCAAAGGTATTTCAGAGGTGAACCTAAACATCTTGGCTTCAAAGCCTCGCTCTTTTTTCCTCGCCTTTCCTAATTATTATTTGATTGCTCATTAGGCGCCGTGTTCGCTTTCTTCTCGGATGCATCTGCTCATGAAACCTTTTTTTTTCCGTGTGATTTTTCAGATGTGAGAGAAACAAGCGTCTCTCTTTAATTACAGCGCCTGGCTGAAAACATTTGTTAACACTCCTGCGAGGATGCAGGACGACGACGAGGACGAAGACGAAGTTAAAGAAGGAAATTCAGCCGCGAGAAGACTCTTTTCATTAAACTAACCCCGACCCTCTCATTTCCAGCAGCTGTCCCCGCGGATACACACCCTGCTTCCCCTCTCTTACGGGTGTATGATGTGTGGATGAAGGCTCCTTTTCCCGCGCCGTAATGACTGTACACCGAGATTTTCAAGGGCCCGCTCATGACAATCCCATTTTCTGTGTAATTTCATGGTTGTCTTCTTGAATGAAGATATTGGCTGCTCTGAAGCACGAGGTCAGAGTCTCCCTGCTCCGTTTTCTGGATTGTTCCGGAGTATGTTTCCCTTCACTTGATGAAAAGTAATTCATCATTTACACCCCTGAATTCTGCCACTTTCTCTTTTTTTTCTCTCCCTTCGCTCTCTCTCTCTCTCTTCACTCACAACTTCCCTCTCTCTCTTTCTTTCCCTCTTTCTTTCTTTCGCCCTCAGTTCCCCCGTGGTACCTTCGCTGGTGTTGAGAGATAGATAGGTTCAATACCACGTCAGGTCAGCCTTCCCCAGAACAGGTTAGCCCTCCCAGGCCTCTCCGCCGCCCTCTCCCCGTGATAGAGTTTGTCACCTTTCTACCTCTGGAAGTCAAATCCTGTCAACTCCGGCATCCTTCAGGATCCCCGGAGTGGCTTTGGCACCCAGTGGGGCATGTGAGCTTAAAATTGATTTTTCTTCTCCTCCTGTTTTTTTCTCTGTTTTTTCTTCTCCTCCAGATCTGCCAGGTTCCCTTAAGGGAGGCGGTTGACAGGCAGTGGAAGCTGTCAGCCAATCAGGAGGCGGCAGCGGTGTAAAAAGACACCTAGGGAAACTTTCCTGGAGCCGGAGGGGGGCAAAGGTTTCTGACATGTTGGAGACGGAGGCTGGGAAGAGGAGGGGGGGGATGCTGTTGCTTGGAGACCGGTGGGTTTTTCTTCCTTCAGTCCCACCTCTCCTCCTGCGTGGCCTCCTGACTGCTCCACTTCATGCACGGCTTCAAAAACTCACTTCAGTAATTCTTCTCCTGCAGAAAACACAAATATCTCTCTTCTTCTGCAAACATCCGAAGATGTTCGGCTCCTTCTGATCATGCAGGGATGAAAAACCCGAGCTGCACACATATGCAGATTCCTGTGCATCTCTCAGGATGAACATATGTACAGCCTACACGTTTATTAGCCAGATTTCCTTCTTTCCACCAGCTGGTAACATCTGCAGGGCGTCCAGAGGCCAATCAGGGAGTCCTTAAGAGGAAAACCCTCAAGGCTTAAGAGACAGACTCTGATCATCCTGTCTCATCAGGGTCTGGCTCTCCTGTGACCCTCCTCGCAGAGAGAGAAACGGATCCTCAGCGAGGTCAGGCTGACATCAGGAGTGGATTACACCTACAGCTCAGGCTCGGCGGTGTGAATTCGACTCACTCTGCCGCGTTAGACGCTCCTTCACGGTGTCGGGAGATTATTTTAACGTCTGCATGTTGAGGTCAGGATATGATGGTTCAAACGGGAGTAAAATGGGACCGTTGGATGGGTCGCAGTAGAGACTCAGAAATCCTTTTTCATCTGAGTTTGGAGGTTTACTGACCGTTAACACAGCTCTATTATTTTTAAGTTCACTCAGACATGCACGTATGCACAGCCCTGTTTCACCCTGTCATCTCCAACACATCATCACCACCATCCTCCCCCGTCCTGTCTCTGTTACTATCTGCTGCACCTTCACGACTCCGTGTGTTACGCTTTACAGACGAGACGAGTAACAGGAGCGTAAACATCCCGCTCTGAACTCAGTGCCAAATGTAAAGGCCTCAGAGTTCATCTGTTCCTTTGTCACTTTGAGGAACTCTTCCACTTCCAGTTTCTGCTCAGAACCAGTTCTTCTCGGTCCCTCCTGGTGAACAGTGTCCTCCCAAAACTGCGGCGGCATTTTAACTGATCTCCTTTTTTAAAAATAATTTTGGTTCTCGCAAATTCACAATTACACGCCGGTTGATGGGCTGAAGGAAATGTGATGAGGAGCAGACTTTGAAAGTCTTGAGTTAACTTTGTGGGTTTTTCTGATGAGGTGACACTTTCACTTCTTTACCTCCTCTGACTTCATCAAACGCCGCGCGCTCTGGAGGAAGTGAGTGTTTGCTTTGTGTGTTTGCGTCCTCAGATGAAAATATGGCTCATGCCCTGAGCAGACAAACAAACCGACACACACACACACACACACACACACACAGAGCGTCCCCTCGTCCTGCACATCTTCGCCTCCGAGCCACTGGAGCACCCAGGTGGCGAGGAGGAGGAGGCGAGGCAGGGCATCAGGAGAGGAGGAAGAGCTGCGGATCTGTGCGTGTTTGACACGGCTGAGCGGGCTGAGTGTGTCTGTGCGTTAACAGGAGGAGAAAAAAAAACACATGCACAGATGGATTTTCAGGGCTGGGGGGGTTCAAGAGGGGCGCAGAACCGCGTCTCCTTCAGCCATGGTGAAGACGGGCGGCAGAGGGTCTGAGAGAGTGTTTGTGACACGGCGGCCTCCGTCAGGTGATGCTCAGGTGGTTTACGGGGAAATATTAAAAACTGCATTTTTCATCGTCCTTCACGTGTTGGAAAAATCGCCTCACGATTCTTTAGTGTCTGAGTGAATTTAAAGTCTTTATCATAAAAGAACTCGTGTTTTTTAAACCTCCTGAACTGAACAACACGAAGGAAAAATGGATTTTTGCAGAAATGATAGAATATCCTGGTAAAATTAAACTTAAACTTAGTGAAGAGAGACTCTGAAGTTCATAACGTAAAGTTGTGACAGTTTTCAAAGTCAAACTAGCTGAAAAAAAACGGGTTTGATTTTAACGCTTCTCCTGAAAACCACCTTCTCCACCTCAAACATGATCATGTGAATGTTGGGAAAGTTCCCAGCCGTCTCAGACATCCTCTCCTCTCTCTGTAAACACGCCTGCCTGTCCTCTTTTCCACTCTTCACCCTGCCGATTCGTTCCAGCAGTGTGGGCTCTACCTGTTTACAGCTTTGGGAACATGCAGGTGAATTATCTCTCCTCTGCATGATGTAAGGAGACCCGTCTCTGCCGCTCAGACTTTCACAGTGTCTCAGCTCCCATTAGCCTCTGCTCCCCAGCCTGCCACTTCTGCATTACCACCTCATTTCATACATTAAATGCTTTACCTTCAGGAGTGTGAAAGCTGCAGCGTTATCTGTCCTCTCCCTGCTCCCTCACCTCGGCCTCGTGTCGGCTTCTTAACGCTGTCGATGAGCTCCTGGTCCTCACTGGCGGGTTTTTGGCCCCTAAAATGAGATTGCAGGAGAGTCATATTCTGATAAACCTGATCCTTAAACCTGGAGGTTACAGTTTAACAAGGCTTGCAGGTGCGGCACCTTCCTTATCCTGTTAGAGTAAAAATGTCTCTGTGCTGCCATCAGCAACACTTGTGCACAGATTTACAGCATGAAGGTGAATCTGCAGCCTCACTCACTCACTCCACCTCAGTGTGAGGATAAAAGAGGAGGTTTCTGAGTGAGGTATGAATATAAAATCATCTCCTTCACAAACAGCTCTGACTGGAAATGTTTACAACCAACCCACACCTGCTTTTTATTCATGACAGCCAATTTAAAGAGGCGACTGTGACAAAAAAAAAACAGAAGAAGAAGAGCTTCTCCCGGACTCTTTCTCCACATTTTCACTCAGAAGTAAACGAGGAAATGATCCATTACTCTTTCTTTTTCAGGCATCTCTGTTTTCTAGAAGCTTATTGTGATGTTGGATCAGAACAAATGAGGATTTTTGGCTCTAAATATGTCGCGTTAGGTTGCATTAGGTGACTGTTTGTCACTTTTATGCTGCAGTTTCCAAGATCAATCTTAAAAGGAGTGTTGTCCTCTCAAAAAGACGGTTACCTGCTGGAATAAAGGATCTGAACTGAAGTTTTCTGTAATTACGATGATTAAGGCTGGTACTGTGAATTATTCTGACTCTGATTATCCTGATAAACTGATGTCTGTGCAGCTCTAATTTAACCAACATCTAAATATATTTTATTCTGCAGCAAAACTCCAAGTCAGCATCGAGGCATGACGACAACAACATTTATAAAATTTAACAAAGTTTTACAGAAACACAGTTTACAGCCGAGAACCTCAAAGTGGGCCCAACAAGACCAGTAAGATCATATCAGTCCAAAATAGGAAAGAGCAGCACATTAAGTTTCCTCAAAGTGAGACGTCTTACTTTGTTCCTATCTTTTCAGAGAGTTGCACATGAGCGTTAATCAGAGTTTCACAGAAAACAGCTTTTAAAACTGTTGTGAGAAACAGACAGTAAAAACAGGCAGTAAAAACAGACAGTTTAACGTTTTCTGAACCGAAAACAGTTTCACAGAAAACTCCAAACAAAAAACAACAACAAACAGGACGTGTTTGCAACACGAGCTGCAAAAGCTTTTTGAGTTTGTCTGCAGCTCATGAACAAAGATTTACAACCATGCAGTGAAGAAGAAGAAGAAGAAGAAGAAGAAGAAGAAGAAGGTTTGCATGCAGGAAAAGGAAGTCAGTGCGAGGACGTCTCTGTCAGCTGGTTTATTCTTCTAAAAGTGTTTTATCTCAGATGTGTAATAATAATATTCAATGTTTGCGTTTATTTAAAGGGCTTTGAATGGTGCTGACCTTTAACCCTGTTGAAAACACACTCTGGTTAGCTCCCATCTGCATTAATAACTTTACTTTCTCCAAATTAAAGGACTAATCCGTGAAGTTAGCATTGAAATAAAACCGTAGAGTCACTGTCGTGCTGCTGCCTCCACATTTGGTACCACTTCAGTCTTATCGTTCCTGCAGGAACAGCTCTCCTCCTCCCCCCTCCTCCTCCCCTCTCGGGTGAGGTGAGCGGTTGTTGGGTGAGGGGGTGAATCACGGCGTAGGAGGCTCATGTGATGATAAGCTAAACCTCGTGGGACGACACTCGACTTGTTCGCAGCGGTACGCCGCTATCCTGCAGCCACTGATGAGCCTGATACCTTTAATTGGGGTGGTCCATTTCCCATCATGCACCCCCACCACTCTCCGGATCCACTCCTTGTCATTTATACCAGAACTAAGACTGGAGGCGAGGGGGAGGAAAAGGGGGAAGCGAGGGGGGAGAGAACAAGATCCCCCCACAAAACAGAGATAAAGAAAAAATGTAATACTTCCACATTTTCCAGTGCTCCTTTCATCATTATTCAAAAATTAGTTTTTAATGCAATGAGTAGCTCCAATCATGTTAAGGTCTGCATGATTCAGATAGTATCATAATTACAATTAGATTACATTACCGCAATCAGAGAAAGGGGGGATCGTTAAGAGAAGGAATATAAATTGCTTTAGTTTTACAAGTACTGAGCAAGCAGAAATTTGAATTAATCTCCACTTAAACATCTTCCCCCTCACAGAACTGCAAAGCATGCTGGTTTCTTCCAGGCCATCAATACAAATTAAAGCAGAAGTATGATTTTTCTCTCGCAGTCTGAGGGTCTGAACATTTTAACTTTTTCACACACAGATTCAAACTACAGCGGCGGCGGTGGGGCAGGGGCGAAACTTTCTCAAGAGGAAACCGGACGTTTTCCTCTCACGATGTTTGTCTGCGTGGATCGATAACCAGGTAATAACCAGGTGAGTCCTTCGGCAGGTAAGTGAAATAACTGCAATAACTCTCATTTATCTGCAGCTTCAAACTCTGAGATATGACGCCTGTGGGAGCGTGGACACTGTTCACTCAGACGTTAAACTGCACCTCTGCTTTTTCAGGTTGAAATCAGGTGTTTAAGGTTCAGTTTAGTTCCTGTTTAAAGGGTTAGTCCGCTGTTTTTATCCTCAGATCTGGATTTACGTCTTTTGGAGTCTTAAAAGAATAAAAGGCTGCAGAAAGAGGATCGTCTGTTATATATCTGAAATATCAGTGTCACTGCAAAACAAAAACACCACCCTGCAGAACAGTGGAGCTGCTGATCTCCCTGCAGTTTTAAGTGTAAATGTGAATAAGTGATATACTGTTGTGGTTTTAATCTAAAGTAAAACTACAGTTTTTATTTCACATACTAAGAAGAGCATAAAACAGAAACCTTTATTCTGTTTAACCTCTGAATTACTTTAAAAACACTTCATATCATGAGATGCATTTGCTGATTTTCTGCAGGAACTGAGTCAGAACTTTTGCACCTATCCATCACCTGGACTCCATATTCTGCAGAAACCAGATCCAGGTTTAAGACTGAAGTTTTAAACTAACCAAAGTCTCTGCATCATCATCATCATCATCATCAGCAGCAGCAGCGGCGGCGGCGGCGGTACAGAGAGCCGATGTCCGCACCGTCCTCTACGACTGAGAAAGACTCTCAAAGCCCATTTGGTCACATTGTGCCGGATTATCCCAAAGTGCAGAATACAATAAAATACAAATCACTGAGAGACAGAAATATAAACCATCAGTGGGAGAAGACTGGGGACGATTAGGACTGAAGTTAGCAAATCCCTGATCCGCTAATGAATTAAGACTCCAGTCAAGAGCAGCGCTCCTTTCTTGATGACAGCTGACAATTTCTCTGAGCTCTCGCCTTCAGCCGCTCAAAACAACAGTTCTGCTTAATCGTCCTTAACGTATGAATGAAGAATTAAAACAAAGCACTCTCCTCTCCTGGTCGCAGCCTCACATGCTGCAGTTTGAGCAATTAATAACGCACATGATCGCCTTAGTTATATCTGCACAACTTTTTCTGCCCATCCTCTGGATATCAATTACCTTTTTTTTTCGATTTATTCCCTTCTTAGGCCACGATTGGAGATTAATGTGCGCTTCTAAATTACCACACATGCTGGCCATTTATCAGCTCCGAGAACAATCCTGCAGATTCATCCCAACGCTAAGTGGCAGAATATTCATGAAAAAGGGGGAAAAAGGAGTAATTTTGCTCTCCCTTTAATGATAAAAAAGGAATTTCTCACTCTCGCTCATTTACTTTGTGGGTTTTTTTCCTCATTGTTTTCTTGTGCGGCCACTCAGAGAAGGACAGGCTTCATTGTGGAGGAAAATCCTTCTTAATTTAGCTGAAAACACAGACTTATATTTATGGGAGGAAAACAGCACGATACATTACGTGCGGTACAATGTGATAACGGTGATAGCACGGCGCATTGTGCTTGTTTGTAAAGCCGTGGTGCAGAGGCCCATAATAGAGCGGCATTCAATCCCTGACTTCAGTAATGAGTTGGGTAAACAGAGCTTTCAAAATGAGTTTCTAAATCAGTGCATGGAGGCAGAGGAGAGGGAGAAGGGGAAGAAATAAATAAAAAAAACGGGGGCCGAGGCTGGGGGCTTTTGGTCCTCAACACCCCGGCTTTAATCAGGCATTAGGAAAAGGGAGTGAAGATGTTATGAAAATGCGGCGCTGGCCTTTGTTCGGCGTCTGTCATGGCATTGACTTCCCTGACACAATGCTACAATGCATGACGGATCAAAGTAATTAAAGTTCCAATAATTTACCTTCCTCTGTTGCGTGTCAAGTCTGCCAGACCGGCTGCTCTCAGGCCCTTCATTGATTTCCTCACCGCTATCAGAGCGATCCTTAAAGACACCAGGGCAGCCTCTGTGTGTGTGTGCGTGTGTGTGAGTGTGTGTGTGTTTTAATAACTTTCCACGCTGATATAATAGCAACGCTTCAGATGTTTAACCATTAATGATCACAGACAGATGACGCAGATAGAGAGACGAGCGTCTGAACCCTCCTCGCCGCCTGTCTGTGATGCGGCTTGTCAAGCGTGCAGCATTAACTTCCAGCTCAGAGTGGTCAGATCGGGGCTCGTCTGCTTCACCTTGTTAAACTTTGGGATCCGGGGAGGAAAACTCGGCTTTATCCGTAAATCCGCGGGAGATTCAGGCGCGGGTATATGCGAGGATTGTGAGGAAATCATTACGGGTACACAGAGGAGTAATTCTGTCTGCCGTCTCGGCCCCGGATTGATGTGTAATGCTTAGGAAAGACTCCCTGCGTTGCTGTGTGCGCTCGCCACAACAGGCAGGAGAAAAACTTCCCTCGCTCGTGCACTCGAGGTTACGCCGCCTCCCCCTGCCTCCCCCCTTTCTCCCTCCACAATGTGTCATTGTCACAGAGGTTTTGCAGCAGGTTTCGGCGGTATGAGGTGGCGGTGGAAGGAGGGAAGGGGGTCTCTTTTGAAGGCTTACCCCCCCTCCAAAAACGTCTCTCCTCCCCTGACGAAAGTTAAATGGTTGAAGTATTCCTGTTCTGAGATGTGATTAGCGTGTCACACATTAAAAACGCCACATTAAATAATCCCATCCTTCAGGCTTTACTTCCTCACCAGGTATTAGCTTAGACGGAGAATTATCCTAAGCTATTTGGAAGTCGGGAATCCACAGAAAGATCTTGGCACTCGGTGTTTGAATTTCCATCTGCCTGGTAGGTGCGATACTCCGCCGTCTTACAGCGCAGACAGCGGCGGAGGACGTCGGGCGGCGGCGGCGCTTAGGGCTCACCGCAGCCTCGCCAGGTTCTCTCCTCCTAATCTCGTCTCTCTTCTGAGTTTTTTCCAACACGAGTTTGATTCGGGAGTTTCCTTCTGTTTCATAAAAAACCTCAAACCCAGACTCCTGACCACCTCTGACCCTGCAGCTCAGACCTGTTTCCATCACTTTTAGACGCTTTTTCTGTCACTAAGCAACAAGAAAAACAAGATGGCGGCCACATTCGCCAAGCTTGGCCACAGTTAAAGAGCTCTGACGCCTCTTTACAGTCACGCTTTTGTCGATTTTTCTTTTCCACGTAACTTTTTAAAACCCTGAGAATCAGATTTTGTCTTTTCTTTGTCTTCGGGTTTTAAAAAAGTGACGCCTGGAAACAAGTCCTGATGCATGAGAGGACAACGCACGGGTTTAAACCTCTAAGTTTGGTGGTTTAAACTTATTATTTACACTCAAAACTGTTTGTATCCCTGTATTTGGCACACGGTCGGTAAAAAGAGTCTCAACTGGACTGTAAAACACAAATACAGATCAGTACGATGTGCCACGACTTAATTCTGCAGACTGGACTAACATCAGAAAAGAACTTCAGGTTTAATCCTCAAATACCTGAGAACTCAGGCGGTCATGTTTCAAGTGTTCGATGACTCCTGATCTTACCGTCTCCTAAAGAGAGTTAGTCCTGGTTTGATCCTGAATTCTTGTAAACATCAAATAAATATAAAAGTGTGTTTTTGTGGTTGAATGTTTCCAAGAGGAACAGAAAAAAAACATCATCTGTCACCTCGTGGTTTGACAACATGTTCAGAAGAAGAAGAAATCAAATGACTTTCTCTAATCTGCGGTTTCACTCGATTATGACACATTTCAATCTGACGATCGGCGCTCGGATAAGAGCTCAGGATCACGCAGGCTTGTTAAAGTTTGAGACGGAGCTGCTGGTGAGGAGGTTTTTTTTCCATCTGATAAGTTCATGTGACTTTACGCAGAACTCATTTACAAACAGATTACACAACTGCAGCTGAAAATGAAGCGGAGCAGGACAGAAGTCTTTATCTTTGCTGCGACGTCGTGTCAAACGCCGCCCGAGGGGGGAAAAGTGAAATGATGGAGTGATCAAAAAGGAGAAATAATGTTCTCCTTATGTTGTTTTGATGTTAAATCTGATGGTAGAAAAAGGCCCTAAAGGTTGATTTGGTTACAGCTGACAGAAACTTGTCAGTATGATGGTTGGAAATTTGTCAAGGTCAGACAGAAGGAATCACATTATTATAGTCCAGGCGCTGGAAACGGTTCAAACTCTGAATGTTTCTGAAATAAATCACATCGAAACGCAAATTTAGGGAAGTCCCCGCCGCCATAGATGTCACAAAGAGAGCTTTAAATGGGTTTGTTTTTCCAGCTTGGAGGTCAGCGCCCTGTGGCTGTGGATGGCTAATTATGATCGCACAAATGGGTCACGGTGGTTATTACTTCAGGTCACATGATCGTATTCATCCGACATGTTTTTCTCTCTGTTTTTAACCCGCTGCGACAATAGAGCTTCAGTGTATCGCAAAGTTCCCCTCAAGTTAAAGATTTGTCACGCGGTCACAAGTCTCTTAAAGCGAGGATTTTACAGACACTTAAAGATACCGATCTTTGGCCAATTCGGACTTAAAACACTCTGTTCCCAAAGTTCTTTGTTTGACAACAAATTCACGGAGGAAAAAGAAATAAAATTAAATCAGGACTCGTAAAAAATGTCCTTAATGCCCCCTCTGGATGATCACAATAAGATGTACTTGATTAGAAAAGGACACTAAAGTTATATCACCTCAAATTCATCATTTATAAGAGTTTAAAGAAAAAGTCAGAGAGAAAGTCCAAATAATAAACGCTAACAGAGAAATTCAGTTTCTCTGTGTTTATGAAAAATACGAGGAAAGAACTGTATCGGGATTTTCCCGGTGAATAAAAACAACGACAATCATCTTTTATAACACGATTTTCACATCGCTCCAGAGTTTAAATCGTGGTTTTACGGCGTCTGCAACACTGACATGATGATTTCAACTCTCGTTAATACGCTCAGAGTTTGGCGCAGATCTTGTGTAAAGTGATAGAAACGATAAAGGATGTAAAACTCTGATGTTCTGAGCTGAATCCTATCGTACCTTGTCAACTCGTGACATGCTGTCAAGAAGCCTATCTTATTATATCACATCGTATCATTGGTGGCACAGCGCAAAACTCGAGGCACAAGAGAAAGACGAGTTTGGAGAGAAACCAAACGACTGGTACAAAAGCGAAGTTTCAGCCGAGCCTCTTGTGAACATGTGCATCGGTCTATTTCGGGGCCAAAAACAGTCGGGCAGTTGTTTCTTGAAAATAAACGCAACATCTGTACGAGATATTTTCTATTCGGAGCTTTGTCGAGCTGCTAATTGTTGCACTGATGTGACTTTTTCCATTTAACAAGAGATTGCACTGTAGTTTAGAATCAGCCTCTGAGCGCAGTTAGAGGCCAGCGTGAACAAAGATCTCCATTTTTTCACTTTTCCAAATAAAAAGGTCGTTTTTTAGGGTCTTGGAGGGGCCGCGGTTTGTAACAACAGCTGCATTTTTCTGTGGATATGAGTGTTGATGACAGAAAAAGTACATTAGCACGTGTAAAGAAATAAAACCTCTGTATCAGCAGACCAACTCTTGAATTTAGGTTAATTATTCCTCAGATTTACGTCTACACTGTCGATATCAATCCTCTCAGGGATAATCAGACCCAAAGCCAGGTGGCAGACGCCGCTCGGAGGAAAGCAAATACCCATTTGTGTTTGTTGCATCGGTGAACAATGTCCATCAACTGTGGGCCTGTTGTGATGTGACCGGGGGCAGCGAAAGTGCAAAAAGCTCCATGTGTCTCCTCCGAGCGTCTCTTTAAATGGCTCTAATGCAGGCCAGGCTGTTGGGGTTGGATTCCAAATGGAGCCAAACAACATTTAAGAGGTACTTTTTATAAAAGGATTCCCAGACAAGAACGCGTTACAAGCAGAGTCCCGCTTATGTGTGCTTGTATTTGTGTAATTTGAGAGGCGTGTAATGCGGCTAATACAGTTTACTGCGCGTTGAGTGTTTTTCTGTAAAAGACGCAGGAAACGACGCTTTGCTTCTATTTGTCTTTGACAATACACGGATGGATTACGCCCAGAAACCATGAGTTATTCAATTTCCACCTGGAGAAGCTTAGCTGGGCGTTCATCATATTACAGGCGTATCTGCTCGATTGGATATAATTCACACCTCGACGGAAGCTTACACCTGCTTGAGGGAATTAGGGCTGAGGCCTTTAATAAACGTTTAAACCTGTCAGACAAATGAGATAAGTGCATTCATGACCTGTTCCTCCTGTTCGCCGCCTTAATTCCGTCTGAGGGAATACCTGCCGTCGGTGGGGTTTCCTGACGCTCCAGAAAGGGGCCCTTCGCAGCAGCAGGGGGCCAATTCAGCGTCAAAAGCAATTAGAAATATATTTGACGAAGGTCGCCAGGCATCATGCGCAGTGACAGGAGTGACGGTATTTGGAGAGGAGGCAAAGAGGGAGGTAAATGCGAGATTTTTCCCTCATCATCCATTATAAAAGCCTCCCCCGGAGAGTGTGTGTGTGTGCGTGCGTGTGTGTGTGCAGAGAGAAAAGGAGGGGTGAGGGGCCATGAGTGGGGCCTCGCCGAAAAAGACAGTAAGCGGATGCTAACTTCCCACTGAGAGAATTTCTCCAGGTCGAATGCAAAACGTTCCCGACTAATCATCCGCGCTGTGGAAACGCCAGCTGCGGCCCGTGGTAGGATTATCATTCTCATAGACCTCTTACCGAGCTTTTAGCTAAATGAAAAATCTGCTCCATAGCCTAGGGAGAAGGCAGCGTGCAGATAAGAAGGAAGAGTGTTTACCGAGAGGCAGCGCCGGTGAAAAACAGAGCAGGTTTTTTTCCCTCTGCCTCTGCGATGTAAAAATGGTAGGGGAAGAAGAAATCATTAAGCGGCGACGGAAAGGAGAGAAGATCAATGTATTTACACGATTCATTTGTGACAAAGTTCTTCTGGGCTCATTAATTTAATGTTTCTGTCTACCTTCTGGCCTCAGGGCAACACGCAATTTGTTATTCTATTGTTCCTGCTCCTCTCCTGCTTCTTCCTCTGCGCTCATATTTTCCATTACAAAGCTGACTTATAATCCTGGATCTCGAACCGCGGCGGTGGCGGCGGTAACGGCGGCGGCGATAATCAAATCTTTATCAACTGGACTAGCCGCCACCTTTGGGCTTGATCAAATGAAATAATCAGTTTGAGCGGGAGGCAGAGGTCAGAGGAGGGGGGTAATCTTGTGAGGCTCTTTGCCCTCGCACACACACACACACACACACACACACACACACACAGTGAACCTAAGGGTAATGGATCTCTATTAGCACTCTATTACCGACATCTGTAACAACGGAGCAGTGCGCCAAACATTGCTAACAAGGGCAATGTATTTGGAAGTCACTAGCCTGCTCCCCGCGGACGCTGCCTCTCATTACAAAGCTATCAGGACCATTCTGTTTGCCCGGACACCGCCGCGGCGGGGGAGGACGGGTGAGGATGAGGAGGGGGGAGGCTGAAATAACAATTAAAGGCCTCTGCTGGTCCCACCGCAGAGCTGTTAGGGGTTTCTGTGCGGTCCCTGGGGTGCCCTAGAGGTCCGGTTGCTCTTGACCCTCCTCCTCTGATCTGAGGGGAGACAATGCCCGAGCAGGAGGTTCGTTTATTATTCCGAGACCTAATTCGTGCTTGACTCGGAGGTTTCGGAGTCAAACGTGAGTGGGAAAGTGCGTAAATGATTTACAAGCCGAGGGATTGGTGTAAATATTCCAGAGGAACGCCACCGAAGCCCCCCCCCCTCGCTCCTCTAAGGTTGATTTCTCATGCTCTGCTCCAGTCTTAATCAAATAAACCTTAACAGAGACCAAACCAATTTTGCTTTGGAAAATAAAGCGCCTTTGTGCGAGCTAGTTCAAAGTGATAAGGCAGTGTCGAGGCATTAGATACAGTCTCTGTGAGTGATATTTAGATATTGACACGGCTCTTTTGAACCGGAGGATCAGGGCGACACGAGCGCTGATATTAAAGACGCAGCCTGAGGGCGAAAGATGGGCGCTGTCTGAGGAATAAGAGGCTGAAGGTGCCGCTCTGCAGCTTCGTGAGGGGGAAACACTCAACCCTGCTGACATTGTCGGTCACAGTTTGTTTAGATAAACACACAGAAAGGAAGGGTTTAGTATAAGTCCATCACAGCCTGATGCTGACCGTATGTAGCCCCTCAAACAAAGCAGAAATACCCGCAGCATGATTAATCCAATTGGCATTGGAGCCAAACTTGTAAACTAATCTATGCATTAGCCCGGCTGGCAGCGTGCACACTCGCTCCGGTGGAACCTGGAGTTTGGTTCTGTTTGTTGCCTGCCAGCGATAAGAGCGCCACGCTGGAAAAAAAAAGTGGGCTTAGCTCCTTTTCTTTTCAACGGGAATCACTTTAGTCCATTTATCACTCTACCTGTCTCTGAGACCTATTTAAGATTAAGGTCAGCAGGGGGAAGGAGGGAAAAAAAACCTCTCTCTCTCTCTCCGAGGTCTTTGGATACTTTTAAAATTCATAAGTCAAGAGGCTTAGGCTTTCTCAGCGCGAGTCTCCCTAACAATGAGAAGTCTAATATTTTATGTAAGAATAGCTGACAGGAGATTTTTCCCCTTCCTTCCTCTCCTCTCCTCTTGCTCTATTTTGCACTATCAAAGTATAAATACACTCGCCCGGTTTGACAAGAGTGGAGACGAGGAACGCTCACTCCTGATGGACACAAATCCAACCCGATCACATCACATGCATATTCGCAGGATGGAGAAAAGAGGTGCGTTTCTCCCCCTCCTCCTCACATCTGTTCGCTC